TCAAATGTTGAACTGCCAACTGATGCCATATTTTCATAGTCTAACTACCAACTTTCATTGTTTATCACCTTTTGAATGTATTTATTCATTATTACAGCATTAATGATATAATTCAATGGGTGTTGGAGAAGTCCACCAAGAAACTTGATGTTATTTAATATCAAAATCTGGGATCTAATTAGGTATTTACTTGAACCATAAGAAAAAGTAGTATAATTTCAGGCTTTGAAGAATCTGTATTTGTGGTTTGAGCAGAAGTATCAGCTTTCCAGAACCCTGGAAATCCATAAAGGACTCAGTCAATCAAAAATCTTAAGCTCATCCTAGATTTTTAAATAAGCCTTAAAAAACACAAGAGTAGTTACTTTTAAAACTTCAGTTACAATAGTGGGAAGATATAAATCAGTGAAAATGTGTACTGTGAACAAAGTTTTTTTTTTTTTCCTTAGTGGATGAAAAGTTATGGATCACAGATCAAGAAGAATAGTCTTTGTTTCTGGGGCATTGTGCTCCCCATACCATAATAATTAAGTTGATTAGGAATATAAATCTCTGGCTCCCTTTCATTCTCACCTTCTCTTTATATCCCAGCTGTTCCCTACAGTTTTATTTTCACCATCAAGTTATATGTTTAAGGAGGAATTAAAATTCCCTTATAATGAATTTGTCATCTATCAGAAAAAAAATCAATATTATCTGATAGTATTATAGGTATCATGATTTTTGGTTCACTATAATTAAAATTCTGATTAAAATTACAGTTTCTTTATTACTATAAAATATTTAGAAACCTATTAAGTATAGCAAATGGCAAATAATGGTGTGAGCGCCTCTCCTACGTTTGTAGTGGTCATTGATAATTGAGTACAGAACTCTTTCTTACTGGCCCATCTAAGAATCTTGTCGAGACTTACTTGCATTTAATATTCTTTCTTAGTAGGGAAGAAATCTAAAATGTCATCTTTCTCTATAATCTTTCAACATATACTATGAAGTAGAACTCCAATCAATGTTTTGTAACATTTCAAACCCAGTTAATTGCCCTCCATTTCTGATTCACTTGGTAGTAATGGTAGATACAGTCCTTGGTGTATGTGGTTACACTATTAGTAAAGCAGCATTGAAAGCCTGTGATGACATGGTTAGCTGCCATAGATTGGATAATGCACTGCATCACTTGCTACCCATCTCCTATTAAGCAAGGTTGCATAATAAGCCAAACTAGTTTAATCTTTGCAATCCTACCTGTAGATGAGTCAAAGATGAAGAAGCTGGATTTCTGTCTACATCTGTCCTTGTGTCTCTATCATCTCAGTGAAACAAATCCTTCTGCATAGGACTATCCTTCACATTGCAAGAAAGTTTTTCCTATTCCTATCTTCTAAGTCCAGTCCCTTCTTCTATGTCCACTGTTTATGAAAAATGAAAATCTTCCTCCTTTATTTCTAGGTTGTAGACAGAATAAAAAGGAAGTATTATGTTATGTCAATAACAGTGCTCTTAAAGATATGTATAAAATGCCTCATGAACCAGGCAGTGCATCTAGTAAAATATTTTTTATCAGGAATACTAAAGTTGTAGCAATCATCAGTTCTGGGTATGTAGTGGATAAACCTGGATACTCTGTGAATTAAGCAACAGATAGCTAAACAGAAATTTAATAAAATTCACAAAATTCAGACTTTTTTCCATATTTTTACTGGTGCATTATAGTTGTACAAAGGACTTTTTTTATACAAGGCTTTTACATGCTCACTTTATTTCTGTTTATTTATTTATTTTTAAACTGACTCCTTAGTCATATTCTGATTTCTTATTAAAGAAAGATGTGTATTGCTAGGGTGTGAATAACCATATGAGAAAAGAGAATGATACTTTATAAGGCTAATTCTAAAGTAGGTTGAGATATACTTTGAGAAAGAGTATAGAGGAAAATAAAGTTTCACGATGGAAACAATAGTGCATCCCTCTTTTATTCTTGCTGCTTTAAATAGATATTATAACCTTGGTAAGGAGTTAAAAATCATGTATCACAACCCAGCCACTCCTTTCTTCTCTGGGAAGCTAAGTAGTTAGCTGTTCCCTGTCAGACTCAGGAGATGGCCGATTACAATGAAACAATTATTTATATTTACAGGACTCTTGCTGAGCTCTTTCTCTCTGTTAATCATCATGAAACTTGGTTTAGTTTTTCCTGAACCTCCAGGTAGAACTCAGGACCTCATAGCAATTCTCATGAAAGTGAACCTTTACAAAACACTGACCAAGAGAGAATGTAGTCAAGATTTCATGTGAAATTACAAGTTTACAAGGCTTTTTGCATGTTGTTTATTTCTTTATTTTTTAAACTGACTCCATATTGTATACTGATTTCTTATCAAAGAAAGAGGCATATTATTAGGGCGTGGATAAATCTTTCATGTGATTTTTATCTCACACTACAGAGAAAAGCATTAAATAGAATTCTTCATTTGATATTGTTGTTTTCTTCCAAAATTCCTTCTTTGACAACTAGTAAGTAGTGTTTCTCTCTATTTTTCTCGTTGAATTTCATAGCTATGCTGTTGTTAAATAACCCAGCTCTGGCCTTTAATTTATAAACAATGCTTTGCAAAACAAAAAGCCCTATAATTATTGAGGAATTGGGGATCTTCCTCTGTATAAAGTGGTTCATCAGCCATCCAACAGTAATAGAGCCATTCCCCTGGGGATGCACATGATATTTCACATTCCACCCTTGCATATGCCCCCTTCAAGAAGTTCATCTAAGTGTCTGTCACTGTGTGATGCTCAGATTCCACAGGGGAAAAGTAGGGAATTTAGAACCAAAGTCTTGGTTCTTAGTTCTGTAACAATGCTGTTTATTTACTCAAGACTTACCTGAACAACACTGAGGAAAAGAACATATGTAGAAATGTACATTATCTTACCATGATAAAAAGAAATATTGCTTTGTATCTTTTTTACCTCATTTGATTCTTGTTGCAAACTTAGCAGAAAGTCAGGTCAAGTGTTGTTCACAGTTTCTGAATTGCAATGTCAAAGAAAGGGTCTTGCTCCAAGATGCATACCTGTTGTCTTGAGTGGGATTTGATTCCAGATATTCTGACTTTAAGCTAGTGTCCTTCCTATTCTCTAGTGACACTTTATAGGTAGACAGAAGTAAATTGTGTCCTAGATTTTGTTTTTAAAATATAATGTCAGAAGTAAGTGTCCCCCTGTGGCAACCCCTCGCCGGCAAGGGAAAAAACGACACAGGATTCTTCTTTCAGCAGTTTACTCAGGACCTTTGAATCATGATGAGAAGACAGGAACCAGAGAAGAAAGCACTCGCCCCGCGCGCGGTCGGTCTGCCCTAGCTTAAGTACCCAGCCTTGCCAATCAATTAGCACCACGTGGAGAAGTCCAATAGGTACAGCGCAACGGAAGCAGGCCAGAGCCCAGCCCACAGCCCAACAAGGAGTTGTTTAACAACTCTAACAGCTGAGTCATCAGAAGCAGGAAGCCAGCGCCATTTTCAGGGTGCGGTTGCCGGCTCCCAACATCCCCCCACTACAAGGGAGTAGAAAAATGGAAATGTCATTATTTTTACATTTAAAACTGAACTGGAAAAAAACATATTTCTGTAATAGTATAAGACCAAAAATCAACAAGTACACTGGATTAAATATCCTTCCTTATAATTAATCTCCATAATTTTTGAAGGAAAATAGCACTTTTTGTGTAGAGTGTTCACCCATTCACTCCCAAGGTTTTATTTTATTTTTAACATATAATTACTTGGAATGGCAGTCACCCGTCCAAGGAGTTAAATCTGCCATACGATTTTCTCAGTGGGCATTCAATATCCTCATCCAGGAAACCACAAGTTCACTTTCTTTGTTGCTACTAATGTGCCACTTAGCCTCTGAAATAAAGTCTGAAAATACAGTCTGGAAAATATCTTAGCTTTATAAAGAGCAGCCAAACACATCATAGAGACACAAAGGCAAGAAAGTGAAAAGAGGACTTCAGGCTCTTCTATACAGATTTCTAGGAATGAGAACAGGATTGGTTCTCTCTCTCTTTTCACTCTAAATTTAGTGAAGCAGTCTTAATCTTAATGCCAGGATCACCTTTCCTATCATCTGCAATGGACTTTATCACCATCAATTCAAACAGACTATAGAAAATCTTGACTGGATGAATAGGAAAAATATATGAAAGAGAAATGAGTCCTATAATAATAATTAATCTTTGTAGGGGATTTTTAACCCAGGGTCCATCAGAGGATGCATAACACTCCAAAACTGACTCTTTAAAATGCGCTTCTTCTTTGCTCTGAAGAAGGATTTGTTGTTTTCAAAAAATCCTCTGAGAAACTCACAATTCAGAAAAACAAAACAAAAACTGCTCAGTGTAGTGATTGTCTGAGACCTGGGTCAATGGATTCAAAGCTTTATTTCCCATTTGCAGATTCATGTTAACCCCTTATCTCACCTAACCACATCCCTTCATAAAGTTGGCATAGAAATAACTCATGATAAACCCCATTTGACTATAGGCATGAGATGTAGTGTCCAGATTTTGAAACTTCTCTGCTCAGAGATTGTTCAATTTTTTTTTTTCATTTTTCACCCTTTCTTTTCTTGGCATTAGCCATGGAAAATATCTGGAGTTTTCTCCACTAAAGAGCTTTCTTCTAGATCTAAACTATAATACATAATTTCATATATAAACTATAAAAATATAATTTTTATATACTATAAATATAATAAAAACTATAGAAATATAATTTCCCAGTGGAGCTCTCCAATTGGATTTCTCACAGACATTTCAGGTATAACATGTCTAAAATGAAACTCATCGTTGTCTCCACTACATTATCTTGACCCCACACTTGGTTCCCACATCCTTGCCAACACTTGGCAGCACAAGGCACTCTAATTTTAGGCACTCTGTTGGGTATAAATCTTGTTCAGCATTTTTAAATTACTACTGACTTTGAGTTATTACTTGTTTGTATTTATATCTCCCATCTAGACTGTCATTTACCTGTAGTTAGGGACCACAGATTCTCATTTTTATTTCCACAGTTTCTGAAAAAGTGTGTGAAGCATGCTCAGAATCAATAAGCTTCCACTTAATAAATGAGAAAGGAGTGAACTCATCAGAATCCCAGAGATTGCTGAAAAAAATTACCACGGTAAGCACAAATGTGTATATGTGTATGTGTGTGTGTGTGTGTGTGTATATATATTTCAAGTTTAATCAAGATTAAATATAAAGAATGAACCCAATTTGCTTTTTTTTAAATATTTTTAAGTTGTCAATGGACTTTATTTATTTATATGTGGTGCTGAGAATCAAACCAAGTGCCAATTTACTTTTAAAAAGTTATAGGTGATGTTAGTTTTGACACCCCTTCATCTAAGTCTAAATAAATTCAATTTTCTTCTCAGTATGTGGTGCAGTGGAAAAAGGATTTTTTTTTTTTTTTTTTTTTTTGGAGTCAGGCATGTCTGTTTTTTCATCTTGGCTCTATCCTTTACTAAATGTGTGACCTAAGAAAAGTAATATAAACTTCTTGGGGAAAATAATACATCTCATGTAGACCTAATTTACAAATTGAATTTCAATAGAATAGTGTATTGCAAGTTACCTATTATTGTACCTGATATGTGGTATACTAGGTAGTAAATAAACAGTAGCTATTATTATTTTCATGAGAAGAACTTCATAAAATTTCAAGGTGCAAATAAAATTGGATTTTCATTTTATTCTACATGAATCACCTTAAAAGAAAAGTATGCTACATACTCCACAAGCTGTGCAGTCCATGCATTGCTTATTGTCATTTCAGGATGACTGACTTGCTGCTGCTGAACAGCTTTACTGTGTGCTAGTTKATGAATCTCAAGTTTCTGGCATGGAAAGAATCTGATGATTTTTTTGTTGTTGTTGCTGTCAATACCATTTTCTAATTAAAAATCAAAAAGGAAGAGAAACAGACAAGAGCCATCATCAACACTAGTGTGATTGCACTTGTCATTTAAGTCAAATTATCAAATTTTATATAATGTATTGAGTATCTGTTGAGTGCAGTAAATTTAGCATTACAAGAGACCACTTCAAACTTAGCAACCTAAAACAACAAATCATTCATTCACACGTCTGTATTTATGTGTTATCTAAACTTTGGCAGTTTCTGTGGGGTTTGATTCCAATCTGCAGAATGTGCTTGGGTCTACTCTTGCATGTCTTGTATTCTCCTTGACCAGGGGGCTACCCATGACATTTTTTTTCTTATGGCAAACAGCAGAGGAACGTGACAGTAAACTCAACCCCAGAAGCACATTGATATCTGGAGATTTATATAAAACTAGCAATGCTATAACTAATACAGTAGGCTTAATGGAGGAGTTTATACTTGAAGTAGGATGAGAGCAAATTAACCTTAGTTGGGTACTTGTGCATGAGTCACTTTATACKAAGTACTGCATTTGTTCCCCACAGCTACCCTGCCTGAAGTGGGTGTTGTTATTGTTGCTTTAGAAATGAAGTCACAGAGGCTCCAAAATATTAAATGATTTATGGAGGTCAACATGCTACTGGCAGGGATGAGATCGGAAATAAGTCACCTGAGCCTCTGTTTAATTCTATAGTAACCATAGAAATAGGGAAAAAAGTGAATTTCAAAATGCAGAATTGAAAAAGAAAAAGCTTGAGATGAAAAAACACAGGATGTGTTTGAGTATTGGCAGCTAATCTTGCTTTAAAAGTTTGGTTTAAAAGGTGTTGTTTTAAACTTTGCACACAAGAGACTATGGAACAGAAGAAAAGTGAGAATGCAGAAATATGGTGGGAAGATTAATTCATCAGATTATATGGAAAGTAGGAATAGTGTACAGCCAACTCAAGAGGTGATCACAATAATTGAATTACGTAGCAATAAGGACTGACCAAAATGAATGGTGTGAGAATAGAAAGAAAGGAGGAAACAAATGTGGAAGATGCCAGACAGGTAGAACAAACGATTTCCTGGCAACCAGTTGAATATGGGTAACAAAAGAGCCAATAATTACTGCAGTATATTATTCAGGGACATGGAGAAAAATGGTGGTGCTATTAAGAAATATAAAAAAGATAGGAAGTAGAGCTAGATTGGGGAAAGTAGTGAGTTCTGTTCTTGACTTGTTAAGTTTGAGGGAAAAACTATTTGAAATGCCGAACACAAGAAAGTTGGACAGTAAGTTGCCAATTAGAATACATCCTCACCTTCTTTCATACCAATAGAATTGTAGCATGTCTACCTAGTAGTAGATTCCCTAATCCCCTTAGCATTAATTCACATGACTAATGTCCCCAATGATATTTGAAGAGAAGTAATGCATGCCTTTTTCAGACTCCTGTTTGCATCTGGAGGCTCTTTCAATTGAAATGGTAATAACCAGAGGCACCTGGGAATTCTAAAGATGTGCTAAAGATGTAAAAATGTAAAGCAACTGTCAATGCACCTAAAATACCTTCTTTAGAATGTCTAATGAGAATAAAAACATTTTCTTAGTCCTTAAGCCACTGAATTAGTTTTTATTGTTTAACTATCTTCATCTGTTTGAGCTGCTATAATAATTTACCACAGATTGGGAAATTTATAAACAACAGAAATTTATTTCTCACAATTCTGGAGATGGGGAAGTCCAAGCTCAAGGTCCTGGGGAATGCTTGGTCTCCACTACCAAAATGGTACCTTCTTGCTGCAACTTCAGAGGAGACAAATTGTCCTAGCAAGACAGAAGGGACAAAAAGCAAGAAGAGGGAACTGTCTCTGAAGCCTCTTTGATAACAGTATTAATCCATTCATGAGGGTGGAACCCTGTGGACTTAATCACTTTCCAAAAGGTCACRCTTCTGCAGGAATTAACATTAAGCATGAATTTTGGAGGCAACACCATTGTTTAAACTATAGCATTAACAATTTAGACCTTCCTTATTGGACACAGATTCTGAGTGGATACTGATATTGGAGATCCACAGCTGATAATTCTGTCAGAGTGGAAGCCTATTGGAGAAAACTAATAAATAGAGTCCTGGTTGAAATCTGGTTTACTTTGTATTTGTGAGCCTTTCCTAGTTCTTTAACTAAAAATGAGGATTAAAATACATAGTTGAATAATTACCATTGGCAGCTTGCTGTCTGTGTGTAAGAGTTTTTATAGAGAGAAAAGCAAGTGGAAGTCACTGAAACTAGCTCCTTCCTCCCCTCCTGACCAACATGGGAAAGGGGCACAGTGGGTACAGTTTTTAGTCCCAGGAGTTAGCTGATATTAGTGACACCAGTAAAGACCTGAAGACTGGAGGGTGGTAGGATCTATCATAGCTCCGTTTAAGCAATTTAGCTTCTATACAAACCTGAAATATGCTTATAGACTCTTGCAAGCTCAAACAGGTTGTGGCCCAATTTAGACCTTCCTTAATGAATATGGAATCATTGCAAGACCAGATTATTTTTCAGTACAGGGGATTGAACACAGGATGCTCTGCTATTGAGCTACATCTCCAACCCATTTTCTTTTTTCATTTTTCTTTTCCTTCTTTTATTATTATTTATYATTTTGTATTTGTTGTCTTAATACAGGGTCCTGCTAAATTGTCAAAGCTGGCCTCAAAATTGCTGTCCTCTTGCTTCAGCCTCTGTAGTAGCTAGGATTATAGGCATTTACAAGTGCACCCACTTGACCAGATTTATAAAGCCCCAGATATGTGGTATGTGGCTTTTGRTTTGTCTAATATGTTTTTTTTTCTCCTGAATAAGAGGAATAAAAAGCAGTTCATATTTTCGTTCAATTATGCTCTAGGGCTATGTAAACTTCCCACTCTGCATAATATAATCTGAAGAAATTTTGACCATTTAGACATTCTACAAAGCATTACATTAACTTATTAAATTGATGTCCTCCTGCTGACTGGACAGAATGAGCATGAGTGGGTTAGCATGCTGCATGCCTTAGTAAGACACATGTACACCTGAGGCAGGAAATGAATCCAGTGGGGATTTGAAGACCTACCACTTTAATAAAAATTACAGGGCATTATCAGGGATGTGCTAGGACATTCCCTCTGAAATAAAAGACTAATCACCACATCTTGTCTTCTTTATTACAAATAGTAATCATAGCGCCTGATAGGTCTCTTTGCACTGTGAAGGCAGTGTATCCTCAAACTGGAAATATTGCTCTGGTTCATACACTGACTGCCAGTATTAAAGGGACCCAGAGTAGGTAAGGACCCTGTAGAACATTTAAGTGCAAGTACAGTCCATCAAACCTTTTGATGTTACAGTTTCAATGGTGGAAAAAAGATGCAGGGTGGAAATAATAGCAAGCCACCGTGGGAAAACAATAATAAAAGCCCCCAGAATTCTGGAGCAGGACCAGGCCACCTGCACTGGAGAAGTAAATCTTTCTAAAAATAGCTCTTGGATGTCTCTGGGCCCTATTGAAACAGAATGCTGGACCCTGGAGAATCACGTGATCATGTATCCTGAACTGCTGGTTATTAGCTGAATTTGCAGGAATTGAACTATAGCAGTCACCTGAACCCAGTATAGTTCATCATAAAAATGAATTGGTATATCCAACAGTGAGCCTGAATAGATCTGGAAGTTAGAGTTAAGTTTCATGAGCAAGTAGCCCAGACTCTCACATGACCCAACACAGTAGTCATGCCCCTCTAATATATCATAATTACAGCCATATTGACAGCTCAGYATAACCAGCTGAAGAGGAAGCAAAAGTTGTAGGAGGAATCAAAAGCTCTAGCTTGATTTGAATATGTCAGCTGGATATGTGGGCACTAGCTGAAAATGAATGGTGACTGCTTTTCAGTCAACCACTGGGTAGCCTTGAAAGACAGTGGAGAAGAAGAGTCTTCCCAAAGCAAAGAGCTGTGTTGAACAAACACTCAAGAGCAAAGCCCTATGGTATTCCAGACTCTGGGCTTTGACAGTGAAGAAGTCTGTAGTAGCTGTAATGTACTAGAGGTTAGATACCATTCCTGTTTCTTTCTCTTAAACTCCTATGCTATCTTGGGAGATAAAATGAAAGCCGAAATTAAATTTCTTGTCACTGCATGGAATAGGAACTCAAAGTCAGATTTAATTTAATTAAAAGAAAATATAGAAAGGGACCCATCTTACACACCTAT